TGACCTCCCTGGATTTAAAACATAAATATGATTCCAAAGCAGGGCTGTTCTATGAGTTTACAATGCCAAATATTGACCTACTGTCTTTATTTTTTTTCTCCCCATAATAATAATAATTAAAGCTGCAAGCAGCGATGAACGGGCCCTCGCACCCGGGCTCACCGCCAGCGGGAGGCTTTAGTAAAACAGTCACCGGTGAGCAATATGGATTTAAAATGGTAAATATGGGAGGAATATTTCAATATCAAATTCATTTATATGTGCCAATCTTCCTGCTGCCAGCTGGTGGCGCTATGACTATAACTGGATTTTGGCATGTAGATTTCTTCAGTCCAGCACATTTATCAAACATATGAAATTTGGTGCAGATTGAACATGGTATGTTTGAGTTAGTATAAAGCATAACGTGTCCTATTGCCAACAGGTGGCGCTATGATTATAACTGAATATTGGCCTTCAGATGTGTTCAGGCCATGACTCTTTCCAAATATGTGAAATTTGGTGCAGATCGGACATTGCATGTTTAAGTTAGTGTAAAACAAGCCATTTCCTGTTGCCAGCAGGTGGCACTATGATTATAATGGAATATTGGATGTCAGATGTGTTCAGACCAGGAGTCTTATCAAACATGTGAAGTTTGGGGCAGATTGGACGTTGTATGTCTGAGTAATAGCAACTTCCTTTTTCATGGTGAAACATCAAAATTTGTCAGACCGCCACGGACACGCCCTTCAACGAAAACTCAAGATCTTCGCAATTTACCATAGCAAAGGCCTTTAGATTATACTGAACAACTTTGGTGTTCATCTGAATTAATCTCTAGGAGGAGTTCGTTAAAATACAACGTCTGAAAATGGCAAAAATGACACAAAATTTGCTGAGAAAATTAAAAATGACCGACTTACTGTTGGCTTTCGGATTTTGCTCCAATATACTTTTTTGTAGGTATTGGTGTGTTACATGTGTGTACCGATTTACGTACATGTAGGTGAAATGTAGCTCGAGGCGCACTCCGTTGAAAGTTTATAGATGGCGCTGTCGAGCCATTTTGCCACACCCGATTGAATATTGGCCTTTAGATGTGTTCAGGCCAGGACTCTTATCACACATGTGAAGTTTGGGGAAGATTGGACATTTTATGCCTGAGTTACAAAACCTTTTATTCCCATGGCGAGACATCGAAATTTGTCAGGGCGCCATGGACACATCCTTTAACGAAAACTCAAGATCTTCACAATTTAACATCGCAAAGGCCTTTAGATTAGACTGACCAAAAAAAATGTTGATGTCATTACATTTCTCGGAGGAGTTCATTACAGCGTAAAACATGTCACTTCCTGTTGCCAGCAGGTGGCGCTATGACTATAACTGAATATGGGCATGTAGATCTGTTCAGGTTAGGACTCTTATCAAACATATGAAGTTTGGGGCAGATTGGACATTGTATGTCTGAGTTATAGCAACTTCCTTTTTCATGGCGAAACATCGAAATTTGTTAGGCCGCCACGGACACGCCCTTCAACAAAAACTCTCGATCTTCGCAATTTAACATCACAACGGCCTTTAGATTACACTGACCAACTTTGGTGTTGATCTGAATAAATCTCTATGAGGAGTTCGTTAAAGTACAACCCCTGAAAATGGCAAAAACTACACAAATTTTGCAGAGAAAATTCAAAATAACCGACTTCCTGTTGGCATTCGGATTTCATACCAGGAGACTTTTTTGTAGGTATTGGTGTGTTACATGTGTGTACCGATTTTCGTACATGTACGTGAAACGTAGCTCGAGGCGCACTCCGTGTAAAGTGTATAGGTGGCGCTGTCGAGCCATTTTGCCACACCCACTTCTGAAACCCATATCAGATGTAAATTTTCGCCAGTTCTAAGGCGTGTGCAAAGTTTCATGACTTTTTGAGAATGTTTAGGCCCTCAAAAATGCGATTGATCTTAGAGAAGAAGAATAAAAATAATAATAATAATAATAATAATAATAAACGGAGCAGATACAAGAGGGTCCTCGCACCACCGGTGCTCGGGCCCTAATAATTATTATTATTATTATTATTCAATTTTGTTTGTAGCTAAAGTTAAAGTCCTTGATCATTTTCTCCAGTGAAATGTGACGTCTGGTCATCTTGTAATTTGAAAAAAAACATTTTGAAATTTTGGAACAGTTCCTGTAATTCTGGCTGGGATTGTACACCGATTTCAAGACTGTTTGGCTTAACATATTTACAAGTCTAGCACTGTTTCTATGCAAGTTCATATAACTTGAAGATAAAAAAAATATGGTTTCTGCTGTCTTGAACTGAATGGTTGCAATGGGCAAGTTAGTGTAACTTAGTTAAAAGGAAAAATATTTCAATTTATGTTCAAAACGGAGTTGATCAGTTTCTGAAAAGCCATTACAATCTCAATACTTTTTAAATGATTTCTTTCATTTAATAGACTGATTTTAAAATAGCGGTATGACACTGAATGTCAACGTCTTGCCTGCACCACCTGAAATAGCAAGCGTATGTTCAAAACTTTCTATAACTCAGAAATATTAAGATCAGAGCACCTGCCATATGTGTAGCTGGGTAATATGTAGCTCATTAGGTTTCCTCAAAATCTTTTTCCCTGTTCTACCATTTTTTGTTATTGTTGTGTAATGGAAATGTGCCATATTGGAGGTTGATATGGCAACGCGAATGTTGTTTTCTTCTTCTTTTGTAATACAATAGTTGTTTGCCCTTTTGAAACTCACAGTATTCATAAAGTTGATTTCTGGTGAATATTTGATGTTAGTCACCTCCGTCCTTTGGTAGCATTATCCTGTTTCAGCCTTAAAGTTTTTGAGTACCTCGCTTGTTTTCTCTCGTGTAGCCGAGGGATTCATTTTATTTTATTTTTTATCCTCAGGTCCTCTTAGATAAATAATGTTGGCACTTTTTAACTTGTGTGATGTTTAAAGGAATACCTTTATGCGTATATAGTTAAAACATTGTGCATGAAATGGCCATGATAAATAATATAGTAATATAACATCTCAGAATTGATTTTGCTACATTATTCTCTGATTATGACAAGCAAAAATCAGCATGATAGATCAAATGAAAGCACAGCATCATTGTCAGTTATGAATAGCAACACACAAGTTACTCAATCAAGCTGAATCTAATTGTGCTCACATTATTCAGCAACATTTGGCCATTTCATGTAGAATAATATAAAGTAATGCTTGTATATACATGTATATATTGACAATCATGCAAAGCAGGTTTCTAAGACATTGATGAGGGAACATTTTTTGACAGTGGGTAAATATATACTCAAAGCAGATCTTTAATGTTGTATGGCCTATATAAATTCAGTTGATTGTGTTTCATTTATGATGTATGTATATATTTTGTTGTAATACTCAACAAAAAAAAATTGTTGTTTCGTGTTCTTTTTCCATTGTATACAGTGTTTATGAAATATTAGTTGTACAATATAATCGTTTGCTTAATTGAGGGTTATTGAATTTGCACTTTGGCTGTTCATTCAGTCAAGTGCTGTTTTTGGTCTCTTTGTTTGGGTTGCGTCATGTTCCCGTTTGAAACACCATTTGTTCCTACATCTAATTAGAAGTAATTGTGGCTTTACATGTAAACTGGGAAATACTCCTTGACGTTCACTATAGATCTTGCAAACAGCCAAAAACTGTATCATTCCTGTTTGTAGGAATTTGCTTGTTGCACAAAACTTAGCCTTGCAGATTGGTTTTTATATTTCCAGATTAAACTCCTGTAAGCTCTTATAGTTTGGAGTTAGAGCAAGAGTTTGGAAAGCGTGTCTTGTTTCTCAACAGTGGTCTGTTTGCATTGAGGTCTGTCTTTCACTCCTGACATTTTCCTATTCCAAATATTAATAATTATTTTACGTTTTGTACCCCTTTGGATTTGTAAGGACCTTGGTAGTGACCCTTTACCATTGCTTTTAAAACTGGTTTTGCCTCTCACTCTTCCTTAGATGGCCTTTTTATGTATCATTTGTTTGTTTTTGATACGTCATAAAGAGAATATGTTTTATTCTTGGTGAATCAGAACCAAATTCCACTTGTACAGTTGGATGTAAAATTGCATGTATGTGAAGTCTTGAGGATAAAAAAAAGAAATACAATTACAAAAATACAACCTATTTGCTTATATTGTCTGTGCCACTAACACCGCGATATTAACATGTATTAATGTTCATTGCTGTTTTTCCCACCTGTTATTTTGGTTATGTCTGCATTTTGGTTCAGATGTCAAGGAAACTGTTTAATAGACCACTGTTGAAAAATATATCATTAAAAACGTGGATTCAGAAATGTTGTATTATGTAATTTCATGACATGCTGAAAAATTAAATAATGGTTGCCAGATATTCTGTTAAGTAAAATTATTTCACTCTCTTTTCTTAACTTAGTAATTTCATATAATTATGAAACTGGTTATTTGTGTTCAAAATTAACCATATATATAATGTGTATGTATATATCTGTATGCCTACTCTAATTCTCACAGATAAATATTAAAATATTGTTTTGCATTAAAATTTTAAATTAAATATTTTGTTTTATTACAATAAATAACAATACATATTGTATTAGCTTATGTCAAATGTATATAATTCTATGATTAATGTTATTTCTAGCTAAATTCTGTATCCATAAATGTATGTGAAGACAAAACCTTAGGTCTCTCCATCTGAAAAAGATTTTGTTTTTAACTATTTCCCATCACTGAATTATATGAAAAGTAAACAAGCATGTATATTTGCTGGAATAATAAGAGAGCTATTGGAAGATTAATGTTTTTATTTTTCTTTCTTTGCACGTATGAAATTTTGTTTATAATGTTAAGTTAGAAAAAGAAAAAAAGCACGACACCGGTTGTAAAAAAAAAAAGAAAATACAAAATAAAAGATCCCTCTTCCGAGGAATTCAGTCGTTGCCCGGAAGTAGAGTTGGTGGAATTCTTCCTCAGCGCAAATCAAATGCGGAGGAACCAGTGAGAGACCAACTGAACGCTGTGGCGGTTCGCGGTGTATTGTCTCGTATTTATGTACATTCAGCGGGATCCTATCCTGTCAGTTTTGATATTTAAAGCCCTCTGTCATAGTAGTGTTTAATAAGCAGTCGTGAATGTTGGTACATAACGGACAGTAACAGTTAGATGTTGACAGCTGCGGACTTCACATCCAGACATGGTGCTTTGACAGAAGTGATGCTTCATCGCCAGTATGGAGTCTTTGATATTTTATTTAGTGCTATTAGCTCCACTTTCTATCCATTGTGCGGTGAAACCAGCATCTGTTGAAGAGGACCTGAGAAATCAGGAAGACGTACCAGAGTTTGGTAAGTTACTCTGAGAAGGAAATTCAAATGGACTCGACAAGAAAATTAAATACAAAACTAAACATCTGGGGATATTTGGGGGTTGTCTGGATTTGTGAGTTCAGTCTTGCTTCCTTTTCCTGTTTTGGCTCAGTCATGACTGCTAATGTTAGTTCATGTCCTCCAACATGGAAGCTGCTGCATTTGCAATTTAATCGCAGTTTGAATGAAAAAATTTTTTTACATATGATTTACATATATACCAAAAATATTTAATCGTTACATATAATAATATTTGATCTTTAGATGTTGTTTTGGGTTTTGAAAGGTGTGGATGAATTATGTAGGAGCGTAGTATGTAGGAGTAATGAAGTATATATGCATTACTTCATCCAGATGCGCTCAGCTCCATACTGTCAGACTTTGATGTGGTGCCTGCATCAGATCTCCAGCTTCATTCGGTCGGGAAGAGGGACGTTGATGCCCGATCACATGTGGAGCGGCTGGTCAGCTTCACAGCACTCCAGAGGTAAAGCTGACAGATCAACACACAGCACTTACTGTTATGCTGTGAAAAGCACTAAATTAGGAGCCTTTAAGTCGCCAAGAGGCTGCTAAAGGCAGATTACTTGATATTCAAAGTAGGGCTGTGCGATATGGACAAAAAAAAAAACCTATCGCGATTTCTTTGATCAATTTTGCGATTTCGATTTTAATCACGATGTTGACACACACAGACATGCTTTACAGTCATTAATGCATTCAGTGTGAATTTGAAACATATTTCCAAAAGAAAACCAATTAGAGCTTTATCAAAAAGCTGTAACATGTCTCTAGATCAGACATAAGGCGAAATAATCCCTAAGTAAAGGTGTAACAAAATGTCTCTAGAATACACATATGGCAGAAAAAAAAAATCCAGTGTCCAGGGATTTTTTTTTTTCCATGCATTGGTCATAGAGCTCTTTGTGGCGTTGCCTCAGATGTTGAACTAGATTTGTTGTGCCAAGTTCACACGTACTCTGTCTGCAGTGCGTATACAGTATGTGTATGCGGTGCAGAAGCAGCACGGACTCATTTTGCTTTCGCACAGGACACATTTGCAGTCCGCTCCAGATTTTTACCACAAACACAACATTTATCCATTATTTTGATTTCAAATCCAAACGTTGATTCTGAAAATGCTTTTTCAGCATTGTGATTCTTTTATCACAGTACAGTAATACAATCTTTCATATACATATTCGCGTTTAAACTCAATAAATTTAACTTTAACTACCACCACGAGTGCCATCTATTATTGCCTTGTTTATCTAAAAGTGCACTTTTCCTTGTTTTAAATCTAGCCAAAAAGCCATGTGTTGACTGTGAAACACATGGCTTTTTAGCTAGATTTAAAACAAGGAAAAGTGCACTTTTAGATAAACAAGGCAATAATAGATGGCACTCGTGGTGGTAGTTAAACAAAGTTATATTTAGAGTTTAAACGTGAATATGTCTATGAAAGAGAACCGGTGAACCGGTTTTTTCAACCGGTTTATTGAATCGAACTGTCCGAAAGAACCGGTTCGCGGAAAAGAACCGAACTTCCCATCACTAGCGCACTGCCGGACCGCAGTCGCGTGCAGTGTGAACGCTCTGATCCGTTAACATGGGCGCGGAAAAAATACGAACCTGGCGGTACGTTTGTATGCCCGCCCGGTCTGTTCTGTTCTCGTGCTCCATTTAGGCGTGCTGCATTCTGATTGGTTCGGATAGCATACTGCGGGAGGTCGGGGGCACGGAAAATCGTGCTATAAAGCGATTTAGAAATCGCGCACGCTCAAATCGCGATTGGAAAAGAACCGAACTTCCCATCACTAGCGCACTGCCGGACCGCAGTCGCGTGCAGTGTGAACGCTCTGATCCGTTAACATGGGCGCGGAAAAAATACGAACCTGGCGGTACGTTTGTATGCCCGCCCGGTCTGTTCTGTTCTCGTGCTCCATTTAGGCGCGCTGCATTCTGATTGGTTCGGATAGCATACTGCGGGAGGTCAGGGGCGCGGAAAATCGTGCTATAAAGCGATTTAGAAATCACGCAAGCTCAAATCGCGATTTTATGACGATTTCGATTAATAGCACAGCCCTAATTCAAAGAGAGATTACATTTTTTTTAAATAATTTATAATAATTAAATTAACAATTTTATTATAAATTATTCAATCTATTTATTTTATGTAATCAAGTTATTTATTTTTTGTTTATTATTGTTTGTCCATCCTTGATTTCTACAAAAAATAATAATTTTGTATTTGTATTTGTATTTATTTGTGTGTGTGTGTGTATTAGGGTTGACACGATACCATAAACACGTTACGATACTATACCAGCTGAAGTATCACAATACAAAGTTGTATTTCGATACCGTGCGATATTGTATTAATTCATAATTCAAATCTACAAAATGAAGCAAATTTTCAGAAATACATAGATATAAATGAAAACAGACCAAATTGTCCTCAGAATCCTTTTTTAATGAGAATGAATAACTGGCTATTTGAAAAACTCAAGAACAGACTCAAGACAAAAGAGCAACAGACGAACTGAGAGATATATACATATTATATATAGTGGTCGGCCGATATTTGACATTTTTTAAATATCGGCATCGGCCGATAAGTTTTTCTGTTTGGCCGATGCGTTCGAGGCAGGACTTTTATTTTGGCGGCGCTGAGAACGGCAGCGTCTGAGCACACAGTGCTCACATTCTCCCTCTTGTTCGCTGTTGTCGTTAACAGTTCTGTCTAAATATGGATAGAAGTCTGTCTAATAATCAGTTAGAACAGTTAAACAAAGGAATTAAAATGTATACAAAGTCTTATAACGATTGCTTTTATATTATTAGTAATAGAAAGGCAAACATTATAATACTTTCTTGTTTGCCGTCAGCATTTATATCATTTAAACAAATCTTTGCATGTCTAATAAATATCTAATTTCAAAAACCTTGCAAACTTAGTCGGATCCAGTTGTGAGATCTTGTGAAGTGTGCATGTGACCTGCATGATCGCGTGTTCTCTGCGTGACGGTCGATCCGTGTGAACTGAATGCTGACAGGAGGAGAGTTCAGCTTCACTGGAGACGCGCGATCGACAAACTATAAACTCGTGATTTTAAATTATGCTGACGCAATTTAATTCTGCTACAGTTACTACTGGCAGCTGATATAAATAATTGTAATTAATCATAATTAACTGTAATTAT